AAAACAAATGTGTTTAGTTACTTTCATTTACTCTACTACAATTTTAAACCTATTTTTTTCACAGATGATTAATGCAAATTCTCTTGGTCCATTAAAATTTTAATGATTAAATGGTAGAAGTATTTTGCCGAGTGAAAGAGCATCTGAAAAAAACACATATTCAGCTCTAAAGAATATAATTATACGTATTATATTATGCATATAAGAGAATATGTACTTGAAATAATGTTATAACTACGAATAGAGCTATTTCTTTATAGATATAATATACAAAAATAACAATAACTTAATAAATAAATTAGAGATATTCGTACCTTGAACATTTTACCTTGAACAGAAGGGAATTCTTCAAGGGTTTGTAGTATGAATAAGCAGATTTGGCAGTAAATGTCACTTTTATAATTTAAAATGTTCAAACAATTTGCAACATATAATACACTGTTAACACTAATACATACCTAGACAATAGTGGACCAGCATAAACGTAGTAGGTAGGATGTGTAAATTATTACAGTGCAATGGTCACCATACTACCGTGCAAATTTAATAATAGTCGCTCGGTTGAGACGCTCTCTATGTGACACTATACTTTACTACTACAAGACTGTCTTATTGTTACGGTGTAAATCTTATTATAATATATCTATTTTAAAGTAAAAACTAAACTATTTAATATATTAAAGATACGCACCAACCGGAGTATTTATTATGTTGTATCAAACATATACAAATGAACACACAATATCATTCACAGTTTAAATAATACAATATTTATAACGTTTACCACTAAAAACAAGAAATTACATAGAAGGAGTGATAAAATTGACAATTCGTAGCAGTGTAATCCTAGCCGTATAATCCTACTAAATTCAGATATAACTTGCTTGCATACTTTCTACATAAACTGTGTCGAATATATAATCTAGTAATGTAAAATTTAACATTGATAAATAATTGTGTTAATGATGTGCGTTTGCGTTTTGATGATGAACGGATGATGATGATGATGATGATGATGAATAAATACACCTAGTATTCGAAGCGATTTAACTAGGGTAAATAAAATAAATACTTTTGAAGCGTTGTATTGAATATAAATTTAATGTAATGCGTTGAAGGTTGTTTTGCGAGTCAGTTACAATTTTGAAAACCTGAAAGGTTATGTAAATTTCTCCTGCGTTATGATTGGCGTTCTCGCGATGTCATGATGAGCGACTCTTGTTACTGGTTGATGTTGTGCGTGATTATCTATTAATAACTTAGCAGTCGTCCATTGGTTTTACCGCTGAAACCGCTTCATTATATGCAGGAGTAATAATATTAATTGCATATTGTTAATGCTTTAACAATTGACATATCAAACATTTTCTATACAGCAGCCGGCTGTGAATTGAGAAAATAGCAACTGATGGCGTATCTTTCGTCCTCTTTCTACTATTTATATTTGCATAAGAAGAAAGAAGGCAACCATATGATTTACAGTTTTTATTTTATCATTCTTCGTATCTCCACGCTTGGACGTAAGCCTATCCCATACACTGCTATAAAGAACGGTTCTTAACTACCTGCATCCACTGACTCCCTACAACGCATTTCAGGTCGTCATTCCATCTAGTGGGCAGTCGTCCTACATTGCGTTTACCCGTACGTAGTCGCCACTCAAGAACCTTTCTTCCTCATCAGTTGTCAGTTCTTCGAGCTATGTGACCACCCCATTGCCACTTCAGCTTGCTTTTCCTTTGGGCAATATCGATTATTTTGGTACGTTTGCGGATATCCTTGTTTCGGATTCTATCACGCAGACTCGAGCATAGCCCTCTCCATAGTCCTCTGCGCAACTTTTTCATACGGCTTTCTCAATTTAGCTTTTATTTTTTTTTTTATTTTTTTTTTTATACAACATAGATAGGCAAACAAGCTGACGGCCCACCTGATGGAAAGTGGTAACCGTCGCCTATAGACATGAGCAGTACCATAGACATAACAGAGTATACAGTTTCGCCCATGATACCCCCCATGCGTTGCCATTCCTGAGGACTCAGGTGTTATTCCTCTGTACCCAGTAAATTCACGCTTTTGCATACGGGCAATCGTGTAGGACCACGTTTCAGTTCCGTAAGTCATCACTAGCAACACACATTGATTAAAGACCTTCGTCTTCAAATTCTGAGGTATTTTGTATCAAAAGATGTGGCGTAGTTTCCCGAACGCTGCCCAGCCGAGTTGGATTCGTCGGTTGACCTCTCGGTCGAAGTTAGACTTACCCGTTCGAACAATTTGTCTCAGTATACATACTCATCGACAACTTCGGGCGTAGTGTTCTCAATCGTAATCGGTATAGGTGTGAACATGGACGTTAGACATGATCTTAAGACCTACCTGGTGACCTACATAGTATTCAGATCCTCCAGGGATTCCGCCATAATTACTATGTCATCGGCAAATCAAAGGTGAGTGATGTATTCGCCATTGATGTTTATACCATTTCTTTTCCAGTCCAATAGTTTGAAAACTTCTTCCAATGCAGCTGTGAAGAGTTTCGGCGATATGACGTCATTCTGTCTTACACCTTTCTGCACTGGGATGGGTTCTGTACTCGGATAGACATCGTAGCCTTACTGTACATATACTTCAATACTTCGATATATCTATAGGCAATCTGGCACCGCTGGAGGGACTGTAGTACCGCCCATATCTCGACCGAATCAAAGACTTTATCATAGTCCACAAATGCCAGACATAGTGGCAGATTATACTCTTCGGTCTTCTGTATAATCTGCCATAGCGTATGTATGTGGTTTATAATGCTAAAGCCTTTTCGGAAGTCAGCTTATTCGGGTGGCTGGAAGTCGTCCAGTTTGCGCGTAAGACGATTGGTCAGGACTCTCGAAAATAGTATGTAGACGCGATTCAGAAGGGATATCGGTCTATAGTTCTTCAATAGGGTAATGTAACCCTTCTTGAAGAACAGGACTATCGCACTTCTGCTCCACACTTCTGGCCTAACACCGTTATGGATCACGAAGTTAAATAGCTTCTAAAGGGCTACAAGTATCGGGTTTCTACCCGCTCTCTGAAACTCTGCTGTAATTCCCAGTGTCCTCATCAGATGCCTAGCTGTTTCATTGTGTTGTTACTACGAAAACGTAACGTGCATTTCAATTTTTTTATGCACCAGATTCTGTTGATATGTTGTCCGGTGCGAAGTTTTATAACGTACGAGAACTGTAAATCATGTGATTACCTTCTTTCTTCTTATACAAATATAATTAGTAAAAAGAGGACAAAAGATATACCATCACTTACTATTTTTGTGCAGCAGGCTAGTGTATAGAAAATGTTATACAGTAGTATAACCCTACCAAATTTAGATACAAATTGCTTTCATACTTTCTACATAAACTGTGATAAATAATTGACATATCAAACATTTACTATACACTAACCTGCTATGAATTAAGAAAAATAGCAACTGATAGTGTATCTTTTATTCTTTCTCTTTTTACTAATTATAATTGCATAAGAAGAAAGGAGGCAACCATATGATTTACAGTTTTTATTTTATCATTCCTTTTATATAATTCCTTGTTCTGTGGTAATTACTTGCTCTGTAATTTTTTCATTATTTTTACCTGTGGTCCATACACTCTGTCTTCGATCAGTTTTCAGTGATATGTTGTATTTGTTTTTTTCATTTTCTGAATATTTTTTTTCCTTCATTCCATATATACATTACGAATACATTTTTTGTTTATGTGGATAAATTAATACTATAAATGTTAATTTATAAATAAATAAATAAAAGTTATCACTTTTTAATCTGTTAAAATCAACGACTACAAATGAATTGATTATCAATCAAAGAACATTATCGTGCTCATTGCTGTTTTCTCTATTCCTTTTTTTAATTGAACTTAGAGAATTTTATCATTGAATATATTTTTTGGTAAGTAATATTCTTTTTCTTCTATGGAATTCCAAACAATCAACAAGTGACTCAGGAGTACTTGATTAGGATTTGACAGAAAAATCCTACTTTATAGAGTGGCTTTTTATTTTTTCGTGTTCAATTTCCACATTTTATGGATATGTCTACATTAATGAAATGAAATCATTTCTGCATACATTTACTATAGGCGTTTAAGAAGGAGGGTCTGATGTGCCATGCCCACCCTAAAACTGGCTCGTGCCTCCAAAATGCGAATGAAGCTTCACAAAATTGTTTTTAAGTTATATACGTTTTTTAAGTAATCAATGCCCCTTTCCGCCCCTAAAAATAATTCTAAATACATTCACTACTATCCAAGCATTGCTTATAATGCACCAGTGAGATGGAGTAAACCAATAGTGCAGGTGGGGTTATATTTTCACCCATTAAAAAGTCCCTGCTTTGGGGACATTAACTATTGCTGGATTACAATTTCATGATGATTTAGTTGAACTGTTAAAGCACCAAGAGATAGTATTAAGTTTCTTTATTTCATTAGTATTTTTACAACTAAATAAATAAACCTAAATAATCAAGTATAAATAAGGATTTACTATTGTCTGTTTGCTTATTAACAAATGCCTCCTTCAACTATCTCCAATGGTCTCTATTATTAGCTGTTTTTATCAAAATTCTACCTGCCTCACGTCTGACATCATTTACCCAAATTATGTATGGTGGTGAACATTAGTTAAACTTCTATAGTGCTAAGAAATTAAAAAGAAATAAACATTTTTCACATTTTATTATTATTTATAAATACCACACAAACTATTTGCCTAGTCATTAACCTAGGTTACCTTGTGTTACAAACAACCACACATTAAATGTCAGGACATAGCCTAATTTATTTCATAAATTAACCTGACTGAAGAATCACATCTAAGACTTTATTTATGCAAAGTAATGTCTATCATTATACAAGAAGGGCTGTAAATTAAGCATTATTGAGATATAATGTATTATTAACAATAAAAATTTCTTCATTTATTAAGGAAAATCTCTTTTACTGACATAAAAATATAAAGAAAGACATTATGTTTTTTTTTCTCCATATATCAGGGTCACAAAAAGTTACAGGAAAAAGTAGTTATTAATAAATGCTTAATTTTTTTTGTTTTAGGTGATTTTATATTGCAAACATTAAGAATGAATAAAGATAAAAGAGAACCAGAGTATCCTGTTGAGTTAGAATCACAGTTTATTTTGAGATTACCTGAAGAACCTGCAAAATCGCTCAGAACCGCCCTTAATTCTGGAGAGAATTTTAAAAACAGACTTACCATTAAAATCGAGAATGATATGCGTCATGGTGAAGTTCGCTTTGACCATTGGTTGTTATATGGTAAAATAGTTGACCTACCTACTATAGTGGAATCTTTAAAAACTATTGATAGGAAGAGTATTTACAAGACTGCAGACATTTGTCAAATAATGATCTGCAAAGAAGAATTAGATCCTTCTTCCACTGAAGACGAATCTCCAACAAAAAACAAAAAGAAAGACCCTTTTAAAGTTGATAAAAAATTTCTTTGGCCTCATGGTATAACTCCCCCTACTAAGAATGTTAGAAGACGACGCTTCAGAAAAACATTGAAAAAGAAGTGTGCAGAAGCACCTGAGATTGAAAAAGAAGTAAAAAGACTTTTGCGAGCTGATAATGAAGCTGTATCTTACACTTGGGAAATAATTAAGGAGGAGGATGATCAGAATATGAAACCAGAACCTAGCACCTCATTCAAAGGAGATAAGGTTAAGAAAAAACAAAAAGTAAAGGTAGAAACTAAAATCTCTAATGATTCATCATCCAAGGTAGAAGACATATTTGGAGGTAGTCTGAGTGATAGTGATTTAGAAGATGAAAATGTTAACATTGATGTAGATGATAGTCGTTTATCTTGTGATGATCTATCAGATTCATTCCATGTCACTGGAGACTTAAAAAATAAACAGTATACTCCGCATTTTGGTTCTGAATTTTATCCTTCACAAAGATCACATAACATTTCTGAAACTTATGAATCCTCATCACAAGGTGGTCAAAACATGGATTACTCTTTAGAGGATTCTTTGACCCAACCAAATGAAAATAGTGTAATGTCTCAGCTTCAACAGTTAAGCGCAGATTTAGAAGAATTAAAAGAAAGACGCCATAGAACACAGCAAGAAATTGCAGGAATGGAAAATATGACTTTGAAACAAAGATTTCAAGACATACTTCAGAATTTAAATAAAGAAATAATGTATAAAGAATTGGAATATCAAAATCTCTTGACAAAATAAATAAATGTTACATGTATTGTTTAAATCTATATTATATGCGTATCTAAATAAATTATATATTTATCTATCATATAAATTTTTAATATTATCATGAGAATGGAAAATTATGTACAGGGTAAAATCGAAAATGTTAGGACCCTTTAAATGAAGTATTTCTTCCAGCGAAACTTTACATATTTATAAAAAACAACACTTTCTTCCTCCAGCGCGTTCTACTGTCGAATAAGCATGACAATTTTTTTAGTAAAAAAAATCTATTGTTTTCATAAATATATAGCTTTGAATCGATTAATGAATTGATATTTCACCTTTGAAAAACGAGGTTTAATTTTTTCTTTTTTATTATAACACAGGGGTAAATGAGCATGTTTACCTGATGGTAAGTCACTACCATCGCCCATGAGCACCCGCAACACCAGAGACATTGCAGGTACCGCCCCCTCCCTCCTCCGGACTTTTAAAAATGAATAGATATGTTCTTTTCTTGCAAGTTGCAATGTTGTATCAGCTCGGAAGTAATGTTGCTGAAGGTTTATTCAAAACGTGGTTGTAGTGTGTTGATAAGGACCATATTTACAATTATTTTAATATACCAAGTGCATGTATATTACATATAATTGTTGTAACTAATAAATTTGTGAAATTGAAGAAAAAAAAATTACAAAGCTAGTGGTAAAAAATCTTGAATTGAAATTCGTATTAAATGTATTTACATACTCTAGAAATAGATTTTTTAAATCTCGATTTTTTTTGATAATCGATTTATCAGAATTCGATTAAAAAAAATCAAAAACCCTTATTTTTCAGGCAGAATCGTCAGCGCTACTGTTGAAATGATAGACTAAAAAAAATCGCTTTTAAAATAGGGATTTTCGAAATTTCTATCCTAATAATCTCATTTTACCTACCACTATACCGCTAACTATTTCCATTTCATCTGTAATCTTTTTTAATTTTTTTTTTTAATTTAGTATTATTATTTATTTATAAATTGAAAATAATTCACTATTCTGAAACCACTTTGTAGAACATAGATTAAGGACAGTACCTGTGATCCTGCAAAACAAACTATATAAATCCGTTGCTAAGAGACTTACCTAACAAACAAAAGGGATATAACCAGATTGAGTAGGCATATCAGTGCTCTAATATGTAATAATAGTTGATCGATCAAGCATAATAATATTCTATAAACTAAGTTTATTACTTATATCAATCAATGCAGTATTAATTGATTAAAATGTTGACAATTCCAGAAATAGCTTCTCAAGAAATTGAGAAACAAATCGCTGAATTAAGTGATGATAACTCACACACTATTTTTGTCGTAGGAAGTAAGTCTGTGGTAAGCATTGTTTGTTTGTTCCTATTAATCGTAAATAAAAAAAATTTAATGTTTGCATAACAAAAATGTTCATTTCATTTGTGCATTGTACCTACTCGTTTTTCATTTCACTACTATACTTATTATAATACAATAACTTACGCTTACTAATATAATAAAATTTATAATTTATAAACGTGGTTTTAATAAGATCAATGGAAACCAAAACAATTTTAGAATTTTTGTCTGTCTGTGTGTTTGTTCCATCATCACTCAAAACAACTTGATCAAATTGAATAATATTTTCACAGTTGCTACACAATCTAGATGTTGATATCAACTTCCAAAATCGTGTACCAACTTACGGGTAAAAGTTACAAACTTTTATAATACTGTTATGGTAAACGTTGTTTTTTTCTATACTTCCACCTACGGCAGTCTATTTTTTCTTATTGGGAGTAATCGGGATAAAAGCTATCCTATCCCTCAAGTTGCAGCAAATAAAGTGCTTTTACAAAATTTCATTAATATCGGTTGAATGATTTCGAAGTATGATTTGAACAAAAGTATCACGACATGGAATTTTTACATCTTAAATTATAGCGATAGTATAAGTGAAATAAATTGTAAATATATATTACTTTTAATTTAAATAATTAATTTTATTAGGGTAAATCAACCCTATTGAATACATTCTTGGATAAGACTGACGCACCGCGTGAAACACTAGTATTGGAGTACTCATTTGGCCGAAAATCGAATCAAAGACAAGCAATCGAAAAGACGATATGTCACGTGTGGGAATATGGTGGCAAGTTGGACAGTAATATATTGAACACAATCGTCGCAACAATATTAAAACGCGGAAAGTATTGTTTTTGCATCATGATCGATTTAAGCAAAATAAAAACTATATGGAATACTTTAGAGATCTGTTTACAGGCAATACCTAAAACTTATTTAGATTCTGAGAACTCATCAGAGTTAATAATATTATGCGGAAAATACGATCTTTTCAAAAATTACGGTAAATGAACTGCCTAGTACTTACATACTTAAATATGTCTGAGCATATTGTGAGCATCATGCCAAATAATTATACAGTATCACTTTTAACGCAGGATCATTGTTTCTCAGAGCATGGCATTGTACCAAATCTAAAGATTCGAGTTAGTCCCTAGATGTTCCTGTCAAAAGGAAAATACTTCATATGGGTCCTCCTGATTTGCAACTTAGAGCATATGTTGTTCCCTGCGGTTTCACCCACCTGAATGAATATGTATATGTAATTATGTGTATGTGGGACTACTAGCAAAATCCCCCTTATAGGAGAGGCCTATGTTCAGCAATGGACAGTTGAGAGCCGATATGGTATGTTATGTGTATGTTAAGTTAGGATATAACCTAGGTATAACAAATTTCATTCAAGTTCTTTCAACAGTTTAAACATGATTGAATAACAAACATCCTTAAAATATTTCCATTTGACTATTTTGTGGTATGGTGAATTGTTTATCAAGTAATATCGATGCCAAGGATTCCAATACTCTTATGAATACTAAGGGGCGTTTCGTAAGAGTCATGATAAATGGATTTTTCTTAGCGTTAAATATTAACTTGTGTCTGGGCTGAATTAGTCATAGCTAGAGTTCTTCCAATTTCAGATACTTGTTACGAATATTTTACACAATGGAACATAATCGTATTTAGAGAGGGACCGGTTACTCCTAGAAAATAATCTTAAATATACCAATGCCATTGAACGAGAGATATTGGTACGACTTGTGTACTGGGCATCCCCAGTAATATCTTCAAAATGTTACATAGCTAATTTCTAATGTTACAGACAGTGATATAAAGAAATTCATATGCACAACACTTAGAAGTGTGGCATTGATTTACAATGCCCATTTACTATTTTACTCATCAAAGGAACCACAGTTAGTGAAACGAGCAAAAGAATTGTTTCATAATATTGGATTTGGTATCTTCACGTCATTCAAAGATAGAAACACAAATTCTGCTAAACCATTGGTCATTTCCAAAAAAACGGATTCCTGGGAAAGCATTGGATTGCCGACATCTACTTTAGAACAGGTATGTAGACTACTTGTACATTTCTAATGAAGCCCATAAAGACATATTTTTTATAGGCTTCTAAATATTTGCACTAAATGATTTAGGTAATTCTTATAATTCCGATTCAACTATTATAATATGTCGTGAAAATGTAGTGGTAAGGTACAAGCCATCCCAGTAATAGATGTCTATTATAGTTATGTTAGTTATCTTATTTTTTTAGTAAATAAACTACCTATTATGATACCTACACAGAAAATACCTAAACCAACACAAAAAGACATATTATGAATACAAATGATTGTATCATGTTTGAATCGAACCCCTAATCATTGAAAAATGCTATACCACGAGGATCGCCAAAAGCATAGTGGTACAGTTTACTGCATATTATAATCAGTAGGTCCTATTTACCCAGCATTTAGTAAATTCAACAATAAAAAGTAATAAAAAATTTTCAGATAAAGATGCGTCATTTATCACGGATATCTCCCGAAGCCGAAGTTCCTGTTACAGACGTCATAACAACCCCACGGCATACGCATCCTGAATCTGTACTTGACACAAAAGTTGCTTTGAAATATGAAGAATTACGCAGTTTGCCGGCGCTTGATATCTCTATAGACGATTATTTGGTTGGAATAAAATAATAGGCGTACAAAAAACAAAATATGTTTTACTTCTTAAAATTCAATATTATATATAATCTTTTCTTCTAACTGACTAATCGTACAATAAATACTACTAAGTCTAGAATGCTGATATTCAGAACATACATAAGTTTATTTTACAATGTCTAAGCAAGCGCTAAGAATTTTTGAAATTTCATCTTAAAATGGAAATACGACATCACGCGTGCAAAGCCTCGGACAGCACCTAGTCCATCTATCTACGAACACGTAGCTGAGCATTCAAAGCGCATAATGCATTTTTTGAAGCTTCATTCTCAGAGTTAGTTGCAAGGCTTACTTGTAAACACCGCCGTGCAAGAGCCATGTCACCTGTAGACTGCAAAAAATTACATCATGAGATCAAAATATTTTAAAAAGCTATAAAGTTGCCTTAGTCGCCTTTTACAACACTTAAAGTACTAAGAGGTAACCAGCAAACATTAACATTAGTAAGAAGTTACTTACCAGTGCAACGTGAGAAAGGTTAAACCAAATATCTGATCGAGTTTCTGCGTTCGCAGAGAAGTAAAGTGCTTGCCTAAAACAAGGTAATATGAGGTCCCATTGATTGCAATAGAGACAACATAAGCCAAGATTATTAAATATTTCAGGACCTGGGTTGTTAGTAGCTAATAGCCTCCTGAAACGAAAAAATATTAAGCTTCTTAACTAGCTCTGGCATTCTGTGTTCAAATTAACACATGAAACACACCAAAAAATTACTTACGCGAAGTTATGATTTCAACGCCGATAGGTATAAAGTAAGTTGATGACAATACGAGTATTATAACTATAGAAAGAACTTTATAACTTTATATAGGAAATATCCTCTTAGGGGTAACACATGAGGAGTGCTGCCCACGGCGTAGTATTATCAGTTCCTGGTGCTATTTAATTGTATAAGTGTCTGTTATTCCCTACTTCTCATTAAGTAAACTGTCAATTTATTCTCCGCTTTTTTTATACCACAAAGGTGACAAACAAGCCTACAGTCCGTATGATGGTAAAGGATCACTGTAGCCTATGGATGCCTGCAACAACGCGTATGTGATACCCCTAGGGTGTAACATGCGCGTTGCTGACCCTGAAAAAACCTTAATGTGCCCTTTTTGAAGAACCCATGTTTAATTCTTGTATTAATCGTCACGATGGGCTAATTAACAAGCATTCAACCTCGTCTATCATCCCTCACTGATGCCTCGCCAGCCAGTATACCAATAGCGCAGGCGGAATTACCATTCCATTTCACCCATTAAAAAATACCTGATATAGATATTTACATTGAGGTTGAATGTCGATTTGTATATGTCCAGAGATGATTTTTATTAGGAATCTACTTGAATTATTAAATATTATTTATCTGTATGTTTTTACCTATAATAACGTAAAGCAATTTCCGGCTGGTCATTATAGAAATTGTACATTGCAATACTTGCTATGGCTTCCATGTTTGACGGATCTTCCAAAGCAACCATTCTGTATTCTTTTACAGCTAAAGCTGGATTACCCATTTCATCATGAATCCTGGCTTGCTCTAATAATAAGGGTGTGTATTCATGAAATATAGAAAGACCTTGCTTACACACTTCTAGAGCAGATAATGGCTGGTTTAATCCAACGTACATAGCAACCAAACGTAGATAAATTGATATATGTTTGTTTTGTTTAAGGGCTTGTCGTAAACAATCTTCCGTATTTCTATGCATTCCAAGTGCAGAATAGCACCGAGCTAATGAAAAGTTCCACCACCAATCTATAATCTCAGTTGATTTTTGGGCTTGAAACGCTATGTCCATGGCCTAAAACAATTTAAGAACTTAATAACTTATTTGTATATAATTTTTCATCAATTAATTGAATATCGTTGAAGAGAATTCTAAACACTCGGATGTAATCTCTAAAAAGGACATAATTTTTTTGAAAAGATATCAAGTATTATTCATTTTATTATCCCCTTGTTCTATATTATTTGATTTTAAGTTAAAAGACACTTCTAGTAAAAAATAGTAAAGTTCTAAATTATTGCGATACCATGAACTACATATAGCCTCGCCAACATATATCGATAGCGCGGGCGGGGTTACCCAAGTAGACTTATATAGATAGAGGTACTCGTATAACCATGTTACATGCACTATACAAAAAAAAAAACAGTCATTTCAAAATGTATTCAATCCTTGAATCTTAATTTAATTATGATTTTCATTTTGGAGGTTAAACATTCCGTTATCAATTAGTGCTACTCTATACTAAAAACTGCCGTGTAGTTCCGGCAAGGAATGGGCCATCCCTTCCTTTTCCTTGGATGTCGTAAGAAATTACTAAGGGAATCTAATGGTCGAGTGATGGACAGGAGTGTTCCTTTTTAAACATCATCAAAGCCTAACTGCAGTTGCTAACCCACCTGCCAAGCGTGGTAATAACCACCAAAACCCTCCTATGTTCAGTAGTAAACAATTAACGGCTGATATAATAATAATGATGTACAAAAAATATGATAACTAAATACACCTTTCTAATATCTCCCTCGCAATAATATACATATTCAAATAAGGTTTTTGCAGCGGGAACAAAAAGGGTATCTTCTTTCGTAAGAAATCTGAGAGAGAGTGGCGTGCTGGCGGTGAATGGCGCTCCTCCAGCAAGAGCAGTAGCAGCTCTCGAGAGCCGGGACGCTGTATGCAATGCAGCCCTCGTGCTAGGAGCCCGGCTAGTACTCACACCACGACTGGTAGCCGTTCCACTTGTACGCTTCTGGAAACAAAACGATCTTACAATAATAGTTGATGTAAACTATTCTGTTCAAAATAACATTATTGTTATTAAACACAACAGTCTTGAAACAACTGTGCTTGCATGGCTGCATTTGTAATTTGCAACAGTGGCAGTGAAATTACTGGATACGAAGGCATAACCTTAGTCCTCAGGAATGTCACTGTATATTATGTGATGTTTATAATGCAGTTCATTCTTTGGCTATCCAATAAGGGGCCCGGTATTAAAGTACCATTTAGTGAAAATTTTAGTTTAAAGAAATGAAACGAACAAGCAAAATAAATGATTATAATAGGTAATATAATAAAAAAATCACAAATTTGTATTTTTTACTTAGTTTATATCAATAGAAAATAACCAAAAGTTGTACAGTATAATCCAAAAAAAAAAATCTGTGGAAATCTAATCGTCATTCGCTAATCACTGTGATTGATTTGTTAAATATACCTACCATTAGAAGAAAAATATTTGAATTCAATGATTTATATAACTGAATATTGACCAAACTGAAATTTAATACATTTACTAATTAAATTACATTCAACTGTTGCGCTGTCTTGACTTCTCTTTGAAATGCTGTACCCGCTCGCGGTGTTTTGGCAACTGCGGTAGTCACCAAATCATCTTGTTTTGGAAAGTACTCTACTTCTTCATATCCATTACCTGCAACTTTTGCTTGAATGGTCATAGCTCTCATTTGAATAAATTCTAACATTCTATCACTTTTATTTTGCAGAGCTGTAGCACATAAATTTAAACATTTGTCGTATTGTTTTGTTTTGTATAAGTTCAAAATCTTGTAGTCAATTTCCATTTCGTTCACAGTGTATGAAAATTATATTAAATGAAATTAAACTCAATTTCTGGTCTATGTTTTTAAGATTATTGGGATCCGTCGCCTTGGTTACAAATTACAAACAAAATAATTCAATACTTTGGAATTTAAGTTTCACTAGTCGAATACTCCTTTAAAGCAATGCTATTAATTTTGATTTCACCTATATATACACACTAGTTATACTCCAGACGTCAGTCGGTAGGATTTTTTAATGGAATGAAAATAGAATGGTATCTCCGCCTGTACTATCGGTATATACTGACTGAATAATATTATTGGCCTATTCGGCCAAGAAACCTACAGAATATTCAGCATTCGGCATATGACCGAATATACTATTCATTGCAAGTCTAGTGCCTATTACAATCTAATTATATAAGGGGAAAAGGCATTGTTAGTATAAAAGTCAAACAGCCCCATTTCTAGCAATATACCCTATTGTCCCCATCAGGTATCCCCCTAAAAGCCATCGTAGTTAATTCTCTTGTGGAATTCAACACGATGAGCTAACTGATCTATTTTTATCCTCATCTATCATCTCTCACCGGTGTCCTGCCAGCATATACCGATAGCACAGACGGGGCAACCATTCCATTCTCATCTATTAAAAAAAAACCTAACATATACGAAAGCTGTGGAGTCAACCATAATCCCTTAAATATCTTTATACTATTTAAACTTAAATGATAGGATTAATAAGTATATGTTTTATAAATATGTCACATCATCTGCATCATCATTATCACAGGTAGCGGTGATTAGTTTTAAGAATTTTACAATGAACTTTCTATCTAATAGATATTTTATTTTATCCGTAATAAAATTATAGACTCATAGGTTAAACTACCTTACTTATTTAATCGTAGGTGAAAAAAAAAACCATTTGCTGTGGCTTCACAGTTCAAAAGCACGTCTCTTAACATCTCTAAAATCATTGGGATCCTTGGTGTTGACATCTCTAGTGGCGTACAGTTCTGTGGTCACGATAAGGTGAAGCTGGCATCCAAAAAACGCGGTGTGCTTAATAGAGCGAAGCATTACTTCACGCCGGATCAGCGGTAAGTCCTCTACAAATCGCAAATCCGGCTCAACATGAAGTATTGCTGTCACTTATAGACGGAAGCATCTAGATATCAGCTTGAACCCTTCGACTCAGTGCAACGACGAGCTATGAGAATTGTCGATGATCCCAGGCTTACAAGCAGTATCGAACCCTTAAGTCTTAGAAAAGATTATGCCTCACTCTGCATGTTCTACCACTTGTACAAAAGATTTTGCTCAGAGGAATTGTTCAATATGATGTCCACGGTCACTTTCTACCATCGTACGGCTCGCCATCGACAGGGAGTTCACCCTCATACCTTACAGCCTAAATGGTCGCGTACAACGCGATTTCAGAAATGTTTTCTCTCACGAACACTCAGGTTATGGAATGAGCTCCCTGCCGAGGTTTTCCCAAGAGACATATAGGGTAGGTTAGGGGAGCATAGAGTTCTTCAAAATGGGGGTAAAGAGATTTCTTCAGGGTCGCGTAATACCCCTGGTATTGCAGGCTTTCAGAAGCTACGGTAACCGCTTACCATCTGGTGAGCTGTATGCTTGTTTGCCACCTCAGTGGTATAAAAAAAGGTTAATAAAGCTTTTAATTTCTTTAATCAAATCATCATTATATGATTTCATATTTAGAATTTTTAAATCCTAAATTAATGATCAACTGTAGTAGTAGATATTTTACGTTTTAGGTAGATACAAAATTCGTAAATACCTTTCTGTGGGTGTTCATGACCTAGCTACAATAACGAATAACGTAAGCAAAATGTCTATAAAACACGGTCCGTTTGTTGCCTTTCTGTATCCTATTAATGCTTAGCGTCAGAGCGATTTATGGGGTGAAATGAAAACATCCCCTTTATTTCTGTACTTGTACTATTATAGTCAGATGACTCAAACATTTTTATTTTGCTATATTATACAAGTTACCTAATAGTGGTAATAAATTTGGAACTCGATGTTCGACTTTTTGGACAGAGGTTTTTAAAATAGATCGATACAAAAATGATCTCAATCTATCCCGATGCATTACGTATTTTCTACGTGGCTTTTTTTGACAATTGTCATGTCTAATTAGCTGTGTAGATTTTCATAATAAAAAATAATAAATTAAAATGAATGCAGGGCAGTTCACTCATCGTGACATTCTCAAGTATATAGGTGTTCGCGACATTATTTGTATATATGTAATCGTAATTTATAGTTGTTAAGTCCCTAGTTAATCGTTTCTGTATTCTGTTATTTTATATAGATTTTACATAGATTTAAGATAGTGTAAGTTAAATAAAGTATTTCTTTGTGTGTTGTCATTATTACCTACGAATAGAAATAGAAATTGTAACAATAAATAGAATTAAGAAATTGTAAATTGCAATAAATAAACGCTATAGAGTACCGATCTGAAGAGACACGCGTCTCGTTCTTTCTCGCCCCGTCCCGCTCGCGCAGATTCGCTAACGCGAGTTGGAAACGTTATCATGCGAGCGGGCGGGTATAAAGATAGGCCGCCTCTCGTCGAGCGGTGAAGCAGAAGCAGAAGGAAGGTGAATCCGAAGAATTCGAAGAATGCCGAGCCCGGCCAGGCGGCCGGACGAAAAAGGCCCTTATCAGGGCCACAGTGTACCATTACCGCAGGAGGGGGGCTCAACCGCCGCTGCCCCCCCTCCAGCGCGCGCCCGTGCGCAGCGCCCGCGTACAGCGATCTCCCCCTCGCGGGGGAGAGAGCGCTCCCGCTCCCGCGCCGCGCAACGTGCCACGGGTACGACAAACCCGCCACGCGACGATGCAACCGCGCCGTGCAGTAACCGTGCAGGCGTAACCATCCCTCGCGCCGGTTTACCGGCGACACTAGTGCAAGCTCAGCGCGGCGAACAAGTGCCGAGTGATAGTGCAAACAGTGTCACCAGTGCAAATTACCGGCATCAACAGCAGCATCCAGCAACGAGGACCACCACAGAGGGGCCCTCACAACAACAAGCCGCCGTTCCCCCATCGCCCGCATCACCGTCGCCATCGGAAGACTTCGCGGAGGCGGGCACCTCGTTCCTCACCTCGAGCGGCATGCCACCGCCGGGGGCGGCGAGCCTCTCCGAGTTCCGGAGCGGGGGTTCGTCGGGCGGCCTTTCGCCGAAATCAACATTAGAGCGAGACTCGTTGATTTTGGCGCAAGTGCTGTCCGCGGACCTCCTCTCCCAGGGAATGAAAGAGAGGATCGCCGCTCTGGTGGGGGATGAAGCGGAGAGACTGAGGGACCAGCCGTCGCCTCCAATAGAGGAGATGGAGCTGGCAAGAGAGATGGGTCGATCGTTCCAACTGGCAGCCATACGACCAGCCCGAAGGCCCAGAAGCCCAGATTCCGCGGCAAACGAGGGACACAAGCGTCCCTGCCAAGAGCCTTCACCGCCGCAGATATCGACTCCACTGCCACAGAGAGACCCAAGGCTGAGACCCAGGGAACTCCCAGTGCCAGCCCACTCACAGGGCCAGACATATGCGGGCGCAGTAAGGGCCCCTACGCAACCACCGGACATGACGAAAAACCAAGGCGCGGCCTCAAGCACAGCAAGAGACACTGCACCGCCTCCGCCCCCGCCAGCGGCAAAAAGACCCAGATTGCCCCCGCTAATAGTGGAATACCTGCCCGACTGGGTGCGCCACTTCAAGAACCTGAAAAAGTTGTTGAACTGCGCCCCGAACGCCCGCCCCTATGGCAAGGGGGTGAGATTCACCCCGAGGTCCGAGGATGAGTACCGTATCATCCAGAGGTACCTCTCCGACCTCGAGAAAACAGAAAAAATAAGCTGGTTCTCTTACCAACTGCCAGCGGAGAGGAGTTTGAAAGTGGCCATCCGGGGCATACCAGCCGACACTCCAGTGGAGGACATTGCCGACGCCCTGACGGAGCTGGGATACGTTCCTGAGTACATCCGTCAGATCAAAGCACGTCAGGGCCGCCCGGGGTGCATATTTCACGCACAGATCAAGCGCACCCCAGGCATCACCCCCGGCATATACGCTATTGATGAATTACTCTGCATGCCGGGGGTGAAAATCGAAGCCTGGCGGGGCAAGAACGGCCCCGCGCAATGCCACCGCTGCCAAAGTTTCAGGCATTCCTCCCATGGGTGTCACAGGAAGATGGCATGTGTCCGCTGCGGGGGTGAACACGTAGCCAGGGACTGCCCGCGGCCCAGAGAGGAGCCTCCGACCTGTGCAAACTGCGGAGAAAACCACACCGCTAACAACCCCGCCTGCCCTGTTTTCAAAAGAGAAATAAGAAACAGAAAGGCGGGCACGGCGCCCAGAACAACAGGCCAACTCGCCGGGCGAGATAGGACGCTCCCAGGCGGCACCAACGAATCCAACCTGATGGCCGCGGCAAACCCGGCTACAGAAAGAGGGAAACAGCTGCCTGAAAAACCCCGTAAAAAGAAGAGAGGCAAGAAGAAGAAGAAAGGGAAACGCAAAGACGCACCCACTGAGGCCGCGCCGACCAAGACACAGGCTTCGGCAAAAACAACCCGTCCGCTTGCGGTCGCCGCCCCCACAAAATACGAAGCCGCCACACAAAAGGCCGCATCAAGCGCGGCGCCACAACACGAAAGTGTCAAGGGGAAGATGGCGAAGCAGCCACTGGAATCCAGCACCTCCAACAACAACCACTTGATGAGGGCGATGATTAACATCTTGATGGAGGTGCTAGTCGCGGTACAAACCGGCGCAGACCCCTTGCCGGTAATAACCGCGGGCCTGGTGAAACTATCGCAGCTAGCATGATAAGAATAGTTCACTGGAACGCGGACGGGATCCGCAAGAAGCTGCCCCTACTGAAACTGTTGCTCGTGGAGTATAAAGTCGACGTGTGTCTCATCTCGGAGACGATGCTAGGGGCCGCCGACGCACTCCACATACCGGGATACCATGCATACCGCAAGGACGAGCTTACGGACGACCGAAGGGTGTATCGCGGGTTGGCTGTCCTAGTAAGGAGGAACATCGTCCACCAGCCGCTCCCACAGGTGCAACTTGGATCGATGTACGCACTTGGGATCGAGCTGTGCAACAATAGAAATCCCATCCGTGTGTTTGCAGTATACAAACCGCCGACAACGAAACTTGCAACGGCCGACGTCGAGGCCCTTTTCAAGGAGCCGCTGCCGACCATCGCCGCAGGAGATTGGAACTGTAAACACACGGCTTGGAACTCCAACATAATCAGCGCCGAAGGCAGAAAACTCCTGGGGATAGTAGAGAAACTGAATATCGCTGTGCATGGTCCAGAGGTACCTACACACTATCCCCACGACGCCGCAAGAATACCCGACGTGCTCGACATAGCCCTCTACAAGGGACTGGACA